CGAAAATTAAAGGAACAAAGAGGGAAAACCGGAGGGAGGGGGGGCGAAATAAAGTGCGCCTTTTGCCCGCCGGCGAAGACGGGGCTTCTCCAGAGGTGCTGGAACGCGGCGAAATGAGTTTGTCCGGAGAACAACCACCCCGAGGACCCCTCAGTGCTGCCTGGAAATAGTTCTTAGTTATATCTGTGTATAAAGAGCCTCAGTCCTGTAAAAGTGAATAATCCTAGGGGTAGAAGACTCTTCCCACACACGGTTTCTGGAGTAGGAACTTAGGGGGCTTAGTTGACCTGAAATAAATGCAAAATACCACAAAACCTGCTCTGGTGAGTGGCATCCCTGCCCATGGTGATCACTACGTGAGCTTTCAGGTCCCTTCTAACTCAAACCATCCTGGTATAACTATTTCATTGCTGCTGGGGTCTTTATTTCCAACATCAGCCTCCAATAATTTTTAATAATCACTTTCAAGACCCTTTAATTGCTGCTGGGGTCTCTATTTCCAACGTCAGCCTCCAATATCGTTTGATAATCACTTTCAAGGCCCTTTAAAAGCTGCATAATTCTTCACCGTGTTCTGCTGTTCTGCCTTAATATTGACTTTGGAAAAATAATGGATCAGAGACTTGGATCAATTTGTTTACTTTCATGTCACACGTGGTTTGTTACATTTAAAATAGAAACCAGTTTTGTTAAGAAGTCCTTTTGCCTGTTCATGCCATGCCAACACTGATATATTTTAGATTTACTAATAGAATATTGTAAGTAATTTTCAGTATTAATGAACTAAAGACTGGAAGTGTTTCACTTGAACAATTTCAGACATATTTAGATTCCTCTGATGCAAATGGCCTACACATGCAAATGATCTACACAAGGAAAATCATGAAGATGGCAAAAAAAGGCCAGAGAAGGATCTTAGTGTGTGCTGCATGTTTCCTTCTGACTCCTAAAAATGAACATAAGATGCTAACTCCAAAAAGTTCCTCCTCATGCACATGAGGATCCACAGCCCCACAGGAAAATAACTGTTCTTGCCCTCCTGTATCTGCCTGCTCAATAAACTCCCTTTATTTAAACACTTTTCAGTGTCAGGCGGTTTTCACATTAATTAAATATTTTACTTTCATCTTGTCAGGACCAATTTGTTGCAGTTAATGTTCAATTTGTAGCATTATGGGGCTTCACTAAAAGCAGTCATCAATCCTACTTAGAGCCTTTACTCATGTGACTGTTCCCTTTGAAACAAGAGTCTGAGGTGTGCTTAAATATGCAAAAATATTTATTAAGCCTTATTTAATAATATATGAAGAACAGGGAGGTTTTCACATTATAGCTCTTGAAGGGAGGAGAACTATGGATCAAATCTGCTTTTATTAACGGTATTGTTGCACAATCGTAACGCTAAATTGGACTAAACGTTGCCCAATACTTTTTGGGTTCATTAAGCAGAAAGTTCAGTGTCGGACAGTCTAAGGAGTCGCTCCTATGCGGTATTTAAAGGGACACAGAGACAAAATCAGAGACAAAATCCGAGACAAAACCCATCTTTGCACAGCCCTCCCAGAGCATCACCCTCTGAGGCGACTCTGCTGATGGGGAAAATAAACCCAGCACCCTGCAGGCCCACGAGTGTCA